TGCGCGCCCTGACGGAGGTGAAGGGCCCGCAGGGGAGCGGGCAGGGGCATTTCTGAGTGTCCCCCTTCACAGAGCTGGAGGAGAAGGAGCCCTTACACGCAGGGGGCTGGGACCGCCAGCCCCCGCCGGGTCTGTGGGTGAGGAGGGACAGTGCAATCGCAGCAGGGTGGCTTTGCTCCTGGGTGGGTGCAGCGTGGGGGTGCCAGGGCTGGTGCCAGGGGAAGGATGAGCTGAGCCCTTTCATCACGTCCCCGCCGCGGGCAGGCACTTTTTCAGCCCTTCAGACCTCCAGCGTGTCCCCTCGCGGAGCTCCAGCGCCAGGGAGGCGCTGGCACCCGGCGCCTGGTCCCCAACGCGGCTCCTCACCAAGACCAAACACCGACAGCCCTGCGCCCCCCGCATTTCACAGTGTAGGTTGGGCTGCTGGAAGCCAAATCCTTTCCCCCAGCCCACCCCCGTGGTGCAGCCTGGCCGTAGGACCAGACCCCTCCCAGAATCCGGGTACGGCAGCTCCAGGTCTCCCCAGCCCAGCCCTGCCCTTCGCCTGCGCTTTGGGGAAAGCAGCTGGATTTGGGTGCAGGAGATAGCGGTGGGGTGGGCCAAGGAAGAAGGGCAGGAGGAAGAGGAGAACCAGAGCCCCAGGGAGGAAGGAGAAGGGGCTGGAAGGGGAGAGAGGAGAGGGCTGAGAGCACGCTGCTCATTCCTGCATCTGTCCGTCCGTCCATCCAGCCTTACGGGGCTGCGGAGGATGCTTTGGTAGCAGATGGGCTCTGGGTGCCGAGTGGGGCTGACCCCCACACCCAACTGCTTCGGGGCTGCCGGAGGGAGGTGGCGTCGGGAGGGGGCGATACCGAAAACAGGAGCTCAGTGCATACAGGACCGTAAATTGGGGGGGCCTGGGGAACCCCCGCTTCCTCCCCACCGTCCCCTCCGGGGCTCTCGGTGCCGGGGAGGGGCGAGGCGAGGGGGCGCAGGGGGAAGGGGACCCCGCCAGGCCACCCTGCAGCCGGGAGAGGTGGCGGTGGACTC